GCAGCTCCATGCCCAGCTCCGGGGGCTCCAGGCCACTCACTGCACAGGGGAACACAGCTCTGTGTGAGACCTCGCTCCTGTGAGTGTCCCCCAGCCCCTAAACCAGCCCTGGGGCTGCCTCGTGGCCCAGAGTGGAAGCGAAGGGCAGCCCGGAGCCCGCCCGGCTACCGGGAGGGACAGTAGCTCTAAGTGCCCGAGCAGCAATGGGCAACACTCCTGCGGCCCTTCAGGGGCTTTGGCATGGACCCAGGGGCACCAGGGCCAAACTCAGGCCAGACGGGGCTTTGCAGGGCACCCCAAGGTGGCGTGGGGCTGTGGTGGGTGGCGGAGAGCCATGGGCAGGGGACTGGGAGCTGAAAGCAGACAGCGCAGCCCCCAGCCCGCGGCACAGAGACACGGCGCATTCCTCGCCGCCCCCCGGCCTCGGCCCGGCAACAGGGTCCGGCACAACGCTGCCAGCGCCATGCTGCCGCGGGCACCTTCCACAGCCCTGCCCGCCTCCGTCCCTCCCGCAGCCCCCGGCAGCATGCTGGCCTGCCACGGGAAGCCTCGGTGGCACCAGCACCGTGCTGTGCCACCCCTCGAGTGCCCTGCAGTCACCCCAGCCACATCGAGCGCAGTCCTGGGTGCTGGGATGCCAGGGACACATGCGGCTTCCATGTGGATGCCGAGGACAAGGAAGGCTCCCGGACCTGTGCCACCCTGCGGGCCACGGCGGGTTCCCTTGGCAGGCACTGCCCACCTGCCTGCATGCGCCCTGCAAGCTGTGCAGCATCCCTGCCACCCGTGCCCGTCCCCGCTGCGCCGCCGGGGGAGGCTGTGAGCCTGGCAGAGCCCCGCAGCAGCGCGGAGCAGAAGCTGCCTCCTTCGCCCTCCTTTGTCTGCCGACTCCGGCAGCCTTCGAGCCCTCTTTCTCCTCCTCCTCCTCCTTCCCAGCCCAGCCATTGTTCGGGTCCTACCTCAGTGATGCTGGCGTGCGGCCGGGGTGCCCGCGGGCGCCATGCAGCCCGGGCAGCCTCCCGGGCCCCGGCTGCGGGCGGCTCGCGGAGCTGCAGCACAGTCCCCTCCCCTCCGCCTGCTCCCTCGCGGGGAGCACAGCGGGGCTGCGAGCCCGGCCGCACTAAAAGCAACGGTGCTCCCTCCCCTCTCCTCCGCTCACCGCCTTCCTCCTCCTCCTCCCCTTCCCTGCTCCCTCCCTCCTACCAGGACGTGCATCTCCCAAGTGCCAAGTGTGCCCGGGCACAGCCTGCCATGGTGCTGGCAACGGCGTCACCTTCCCCCAGTGCACGTGCCCTGGGCACCGCTGCAGGTGTCACCCTGAGGTGCTCACCTGGGCACACGCTGTCACC